AGAGCTAAAAAAAGTGTCAAAAAATCACAGTGAAATACAAAAAAATACTAACTAGATACTATAAAAAATGACAGGAAAAACAGGTTGGAAAAGTGACAAAAAAACTTCCACTGTAATACATTCAATTACCACCTAAACACTTAAAAAAAAGGCCACAAAAACCGACGAAAAACAGAGCTAAAAAAAGTGTCAAAAATCACAGTGAAATAAAAAAAAATACTAACTAGATACTATAAAAAAGACAGGAAAAACAGTCTGGAAAAGTGACAAAAAAACTTCCACTGTAAAACATTCAATTACCACCTAAACACTTAAAAAAAAGGCCACAAAAACCGACGAAAAAAGAGCTAAAAAAAGTGTCAAAAAATCACAGTGAAATACAAAAAAATACTAACTAGATACTATAAAAAATGACAGGAAAAACAGGTTGGAAAAGTGACAAAAAAACTTCCACTGTAATACATTCAATTACCACCTAAAAACTTAAAAAAAAGGCCACAAAAACCGACGAAAAAAGAGCTAAAAAAAGTGTCAAAAATCACAGTGAAATACAAAAAAATACTAACTAGATACTATAAAAAATGACAGGAAAAACAGGCTGGAAAAGTGACAAAAAAACTTCCACTGTAATACATTCAATTACCACCTAAAAACTTAAAAAAAAACCACAAAAACCGAAGAAAAAAGAGCTAACAAAAGTATAAAAAAATCACACTGAAATACAAGAAAATACAAACTAAATACTATAAAAAAGACAGAAAAAACCGGAGGAAAAAGTGACAAAAAAGTCCCACTGTAATACGCTCAATTACCACCTTAATACACAAAAAGGACGATTAAACCGGAAGGAAAAAGTGCAAAAAATCCTAACTTATTATAAAATATATCACATAAAAAGGGCACAATAAAAACCTCACATAATTATTCTTTTAAATATCGAAAATTAGTGGAAGTTTACTTAAAAAAACATTAAATATTTTCCTTATTTTTCTTAAGTACAAAGCATTACAATATAAATGATGTTTTCAAATGCGTTTAAGAAAGAACCTACTTATACAGGGTGTTTCATTGGGAAAGGGCATTATTTTAACCCTGTATAGAGGTCACTCAGGGGATTACAAAAAAACCCATATACTATGGGACTTGCGCCCTTTATAACCGAGTTACAGGGTGTTTTTTGAATGTGGCCCATTTATTTCGACACCTATAACTTTTGAATCACTCAGTATATTTTTTTGATATTTGGCATAGATATTCTATACCTTTAGGACAATTTATTAGGTTTGTTCCTACAACAGTCAGAAATAGTCGGTGGTCGTAATAATTTAGGCGTTCCAACAAACTCCACAGACATCTCTGATTCTGACTTGGTTAACAATTTATTGTTCCAACAGTTTAAGGGACTGGTTTTGTGATAGTCAGAAAAATTTGCTGATAGTACAGAGATTTGAAATCCGGCGCAAGCGCATTTTTAATTTGGGTTTAATTTGTATTTCTGAATATAGGTTAATTATTAGGTTATGTTGTTTGTTGTTTTTGTTTGATATTTGGTGAATATATGTATAATAAATGTAAAGACTGTTCCATCAAGAAATCAGAAATTTGATTACACCATTCAATCATAAACCGCGCATGCGAAATAGAAGAGTCAGAAACTTACTGGTAACAAATCAGTGACTTTTTGTAGGAACAAACCTATTGCCACATTAAAAAAATACAAAATCCAGGTCCGGATTTAAAAAAATTAATAAAATTTGACCGACCCTAAAACAACACCCTATACATCATATTTTTAAAAATTTAATTTCAAATTCAGAAAGAGCATAAAAAACTGAATGTATTCATCAACTTTTTATTTTCCCGCATGCCGTTTTTCTACCAAAATTTAAACGTTAAAATGTACATTATGAAATTTTTGGTCCATGTAAATTGTAATTGAAGGGATTTTAATTATTTTTTCTTTAATAAAACCAGATTTACTTAACACTTTCATGAAAATTCTTGAAATAGACCTATTGAACTTGAATTAACAGTCACATAAACCAATAAAAATTACAATTACAGATCCGCACTTAATAAAATTAAAATGATTTCATTTCATTTAATAATTAATCATTGATTATTTAATTTTTACATTTCTACATGAGAAAATTCAAAACTTAACTATGTAATTTACTAGATTTTTCAAAAAAGATACTAGAATAACTATTCTTTACCACACCACCAAGAGGTAGAACACAAGGCGCGTTTTTCTAATGAGGTATCCTCAATAGGCCTAATCCACACGAACTGGCAAAATTAAACAATGAATAAAAAATATGAAAAATAAACAAAAAAAATGGTTAAGATTGACAAACCGGAGCGGGCTAACGCGCACGCCCCAATAACGGCAAATTCGGTGTTCTGACAGCGTCAAAAACTGTGCATCGTTGCCAGACTGTGTAAATTGTTATTTTATTAAAAATTTAAAGTATATTAACTAAAACCAAAAGAACAAGAAATTTGGTTTTTAACCAAATAATTAATATCTACTAATTTAATACTAATTATAAATAACAAAATGATAACTAACAAACTAACTTAATGTGGCAATAAATTGTCCTAAAGGTATAGAATATCTATGCCAAATATCAAAAAAATATACTGAGTGATTCAAAAGTTATAGGTGTCGAAAGAAATGGGCCAAATTCAAAAAACACCCTGTAACTCGGTTTTTTGTAATCCCCTGAGTGACCTCTATACAGGGTTAAAATATTGCCCTTTCCCAATGAAACACCCTGTATTATAATAGAACTTGATAATAAATCACTTCATTTAGAATCATTTCTATACTTTTTAAAGACTATCTGATGCTTTCCTTAAAAAAGTAAAGCTTTCGAAACAATTCTACGGTGAACGATAAAATCAAACGATTATGTAAATAACAACATAAATTAACAACCAAATGAATTTGCAATGGTTATAAGAAAATTAATAAACAAATTGGCCCCAAAATTAGCTTCTACTTATTTAATGAAATTCTAACATTAAACTGTTAGAAAATCAACAGGTGTTTTTCAATGAAAAAAGAGGTACTGAAGCGTGGCTAATCGGTTTTAAGGGTGCATACAGTTGTAAATTAATAAGTAACCATTAGATTTACTTGCATTTTAAATTATTTCTGGTATTCCAAAGCGCTGAAAAAAATAAAAGTCACACACACAATACTATCACTAAGGTTCTAGTCAAAAATATCGCACCGAACACGATATTTTCTACACAAACGAGAAGTCCCCGAATACACAAAAAAACGAAAAAACGATTTAGAAAACGCGAACCGAATTTGAATTAAAACTTAAATTAACCAAACTGAAAAGTTCGTACCGTTATAGACACAAAATGACGCCAAGCCGCGGCCAAGCCAAGCTTCTGAAACCGAAGTGACGCTTAGTTGAATCAGTGTTGCCAACTTTTTTTTTCTTCAGGTTTGCTTGAGTGATTTGTTATAAATAATATAATTATTGGTAATTGAAAAGTAGTAAGACGGTATTAAAATAGTTTAGCTAAAGCAATTTTGAATCAGTTGTATAAATAAAAACATAGGACTATAATAACCCGTTACTGAATACTACCACCGACGGAGGCCAATGAGCAGAAAGAAAAATGTCAATGACATGACATGACTGATGACATGACAAGTGACTTTGTTGTGGTGTTGTTTATAAAAAAAATCAACATTGTATTTTTTAAGAAAAGGGATATAATTTCCTAATTTTGTAGCATTGGCACTATAAAAGAAGCGACAAATAAACCATCAGCAATATTCAGTATAATATATTGGGTTTTTTCTTTTTCTAGTTAGATCCAACAGTTCTTGCTTTGGTTGGAATATCTTTCTTTAAAAGATGTTTCGCACGTAAGTATTTGCTAATAATATGTTAATAAAGCTAAACCTTATTCATTTATGGTTGTGTTGAACAAAAATAGTAAAAATTCGTTGAAATTTAACAAGCTAACACTTGATTTTTTGTACCCGTAGAATGAAAAGTAGTGTTAGATATTTCTCATTACAACTTCCTTATTTTGCAGGCTTAGCACTAAAAATAGGAAGTAATTAACAACTATAAACGAAAAATGAACCACCAGCAGCGATTATAGGACAATGTTTTGGATTTATTCTACTATTTTTGGCCTTTGATTGAAACCATTCTTCCTTCAATTGGAGTATTTTTGAGCACAAGAATAACGTATTGAAAACGTAAGTACTTACTAATAATATATTACTAAAGCAAAATATCATTCGTACACAATCAATTTCAACAAGAATTATAAAAATATATTGGCAAATAAGGTAGAATGATTTTTTTTTTGTTACCCGTAGAATTTTTTTTAGAAAGAAGGTTTCTTTTACTTATAATTTCCTTTATTTTATAGAATTGACACCCGAAAATAGAGGCAACTTTTAGCTAAAAACGTGGAAGAAAGAACCAGAACAGAATTATATTTTGTTATTTATTCATCATCTATTCCTTTATTCAAACAACTCTTCTTCGTTTTGGGGAAAATTTAAGTAATTACTAATATTTTTTAATAAAACAAAACGTCATTTGATTACTTTTATTTGTATTATAAATCGTCTTTTAGGAATTAACAAGTAGCAAATGATTTTTGGTTACTAGTACAATATAAAGTTGGATATATATTTGTTTTACATCTTTTTTTTTATTTTCTAGGATTGGATGAGAAAATTGGAAGCAAATGATGGTATTTTTTAAGTGTAATTAATTTAATATTAAATAAACAGTATTTGAATATTTAGTGTCACTACTTACAAAATATGCACTTACACCAAACGTCCAACTTCGAGCTGTGGAATAATTAGAAAGAGAGAAATCAGTCGAACTAAATAATTTAGAACGTTCTAGAATCATTTAGACATATCTACAATCATTTAGAAAACTTTATAATCATTTAGAACTGTCTGAATCCATATAGAACGTTCTAGAATTATTTAGAATACTTTGAAGACAAAGTAGTCTTGAAAACGGAAGAAAAAGTTCGAAATTCCAAGAAACTCTCCAAATTGTCCATATTAACTATATGGATAATCATTTCGCTTTCCAATAGTTTCTTGAAAGTCTTGAAACAGCTTTCATAATCCTGAAAAATAGAAAAAAAAATCATTAAAAAAGGGTTCATTCTCAAAGGTAATTTAATTCTTACCTTTTTAGCATTCATTTTGAAGGAAAAGTTGTTTTTAAAACGGAAGAAAAAGTTCGAAATTCCAAGAAACTCTCCAAATTGTCCATATTAACTATATGGATAATCATTTCGCTTTCCAATAGTCTCTTATAAGTCTTGAAACAGCTTTCATAATCCTGAAAAATAGAAAAAAAAATCATTAAAAAAGGGTTCATTCTCAAAGGTAATTTAATTCTTACCTTTTTAGCATTCATTTTGAAGGAAAAGTTGTTTTTAAAACGGAAGAAAAAGTTCGAAATTCCAAGAAACTCTCCAAATTGTCCATATTAACTATATGGATAATCATTTCGCTTTCCAATAGTCTCTTATAAGTCTTGAAACAGCTTTCATAATCCTGAAAAATAGAAAAAAAAATCATTAAAAAAGGGTTCATTCTCAAAGGTAATTTAATTCTTACCTTTTTTAGCATTCTTTTTGAAGGAAAAGTTGTTTTTAAAACGGAAGAAAAAGTTCGAAATTCCAAGAAACTCTCCAAATTGTCCATATTAACTATATGGATAATCATTTCGCTTTCCAATAGTCTCTTATAAGTCTTGAAACAGCTTTCATAATCCTGAAAAATAGAAAAAAAAAATCATTAAAAAAGGGTTCATTCTCAAAGGTAATTTAATTCTTACCTTTTTAGCATTCATTTTGAAGGAAAAGTTGTTTTTAAAACGGAAGAAAAAGTTCGAAATTCCAAGAAACTCTCCAAATTGTCCATATTAACTATATGGATAATCATTTCGCTTTCCAATAGTCTCTTATAAGTCTTGAAACAGCTTTCATAATCCTGAAAAATAGAAAAAAAAATCATTAAAAAAGGGTTCATTCTCAAAGGTAATTTAATTCTTACCTTTTTTAGCATTCTTTTTGAAGGCAAAGTTGTTTTTAAAACGGAAGAAAAAGTTCGAAATTCCAAGAAACTCTCCAAATTGTCCATATTAACTATATGGATAATCATTTCGCTTTCCAATAGTCTCTTATAAGTCTTGAAACAGCTTTCATAATCCTGAAAAATAGAAAAAAAATCAATAAAAAAGGGTTTATTCTTATAGAAAATTTAATACTTACCTTTTTAGCATTCATTTTGAAGGAAAAGTTGTTTTTAAAACGGAAGAAAAAGTTCGAAATTCCAAGAAACTCTCCAAATTGTCCATATTAACTATATGGATAATCATTTCGCTTTCCAATAGTCTCTTATAAGTCTTGAAACAGCTTTCATAATCCTGAAAAATAGAAAAAAATCATTAAAAAAGGGTTCATTCTCAAAGGTAATTTAATTCTTACCTTTTTTAGCATTCTTTTTGAAGGCAAAGTTGTTTTTAAAACGGAAGAAAAAGTTCGAAATTCCAAGAAACTCTCCAAATTGTCCATATTAACTATATGGATAATCATTTCGCTTTCCAATAGTCTCTTATAAGTCTTGAAACAGCTTTCATAATCCTGAAAAATAGAAAAAAAAATCATTAAAAATGGGTTTATTCTTATAGAAAATTTAATTCTTACCTTTTTAGCATTCATTTTGAAGGAAAAGTTGTTTTTAAAACGGAAGAAAAAGTTCGAAATTCCAAGAAACTCTCCAAATTGTCCATATTAACTATATGGATAATCATTTCGCTTTCCAATAGTCTCTTATAAGTCTTGAAACAGCTTTCATAATCCTGAAAAATAGAAAAAAAATCATTAAAAAAGGGTTCATTCTCAAAGGTAATTTAATTCTTACCTTTTTAGCATTCATTTTGAAGGAAAAGTTGTTTTTAAAACGGAAGAAAAAGTTCGAAATTCCAAGAAACTCTCCAAATTGTCCATATTAACTATATGGATAATCATTTCGCTTTCCAATAGTCTCTTATAAGTCTTGAAACAGCTTTCATAATCCTGAAAAATAGAAAAAAAAATCATTAAAAAAGGGTTCATTCTCAAAGGTAATTTAATTCTTACCTTTTTTAGCATTCTTTTTGAAGGCAAAGTTGTTTTTAAAACGGAAGAAAAAGTTCGAAATTCCAAGAAACTCTCCAAATTGTCCATATTAACTATATGGATAATCATTTCGCTTTCCAATAGTCTCTTATAAGTCTTGAAACAGCTTTCATAATCCTGAAAAATAGAAAAAAAATCAATAAAAAAGGGTTTATTCTTATAGAAAATTTAATTCTTACCTTTCCAGCATTCATTTTGAAGGCAAAGTTGTTTTTAAAACGGAAGAAAAAGTTCGAAATTCCAAGAAACTCTCCAAATTGTCCATATTAACTATATGGATAATCATTTCGCTTTCCAATAGTCTCTTATAAGTCTTGAAACAGCTTTCATAATCCTGAAAAATAGAAAAAAAATCATTAAAAAAGGGTTCATTCTCAAAGGTAATTTAATTCTTACCTTTTTTAGCATTCTTTTTGAAGGCAAAGTTGTTTTTAAAACGGAAGAAAAAGTTCGAAATTCCAAGAAACTCTCCAAATTGTCCATATTAACTATATGGATAATCATTTCGCTTTCCAATAGTTTCTTGAAAGTCTTGAAACAGCTTTCATAATCCTGAAAAATAGAAAAAAAAAATCAATAAAAAAGGGTTCATTCTCAAAGGTAATTTAATTCTTACCTTTTTAGCATTCATTTTGAAGGAAAAGTTGTTTTTAAAACGGAAGAAAAAGTTCGAAATTCCAAGAAACTCTCCAAATTGTCCATATTAACTATATGGATAATCATTTCGCTTTCCAATAGTCTCTTATAAGTCTTGAAACAGCTTTCATAATCCTGAAAAATAGAAAAAAAAATCATTAAAAAAGGGTTCATTCTCAAAGGTAATTTAATTCTTACCTTTTTAGCATTCATTTTGAAGGAAAAGTTGTTTTTAAAACGGAAGAAAAAGTTCGAAATTCCAAGAAACTCTCCAAATTGTCCATATTAACTATATGGATAATCATTTCGCTTTCCAATAGTCTCTTATAAGTCTTGAAACAGCTTTCATAATCCTGAAAAATAGAAAAAAAAATCATTAAAAAAGGGTTCATTCTCAAAGGTAATTTAATTCTTACCTTTTTAGCATTCATTTTGAAGGAAAAGTTGTTTTTAAAACGGAAGAAAAAGTTCGAAATTCCAAGAAACTCTCCAAATTGTCCATATTAACTATATGGATAATCATTTCGCTTTCCAATAGTCTCTTATAAGTCTTGAAACAGCTTTCATAATCCTGAAAAATAGAAAAAAAAATCATTAAAAATGGGTTTATTCTTATAGAAAATTTAATTCTTACCTTTTTAGCATTCATTTTGAAGGAAAAGTTGTTTTTAAAACGGAAGAAAAAGTTCGAAATTCCAAGAAACTCTCCAAATTGTCCATATTAACTATATGGATAATCATTTCGCTTTCCAATAGTCTCTTATAAGTCTTGAAACAGCTTTCATAATCCTGAAAAATAGAAAAAAAAATCATTAAAAATGGGTTTATTCTTATAGAAAATTTAATTCTTACCTTTTTAGCATTCATTTTGAAGGAAAAGTTGTTTTTAAAACGGAAGAAAAAGTTCGAAATTCCAAGAAACTCTCCAAATTGTCCATATTAACTATATGGATAATCATTTCGCTTTCCAATAGTCTCTTATAAGTCTTGAAACAGCTTTCATAATCCTGAAAAATAGAAAAAAAAATCATTAAAAAAGGGTTCATTCTCAAAGGTAATTTAATTCTTACCTTTTTTAGCATTCTTTTTGAAGGCAAAGTTGTTTTTAAAACGGAAGAAAAAGTTCGAAATTCCAAGAAACTCTCCAAATTGTCCATATTAACTATATGGATAATCATTTCGCTTTCCAATAGTCTCTTATAAGTCTTGAAACAGCTTTCATAATCCTGAAAAATAGAAAAAAAATCAATAAAAAAGGGTTTATTCTTATAGAGAATTTAATTCTTACCTTTCCAGCATTCATTTTGAAGGCAAAGTTGTTTTTAAAACGGAAGAAAAAGTTCGAAATTCCAAGAAACTCTCCAAATTGTCCATATTAACTATATGGATAATCATTTCGCTTTCCAATAGTCTCTTATAAGTCTTGAAACAGCTTTCATAATCCTGAAAAATAGAAAAAAAATCATTAAAAAAGGGTTCATTCTCAAAGGTAATTTAATTCTTACCTTTTTTAGCATTCTTTTTGAAGGCAAAGTTGTTTTTAAAACGGAAGAAAAAGTTCGAAATTCCAAGAAACTCTCCAAATTGTCCATATTAACTATATGGATAATCATTTCGCTTTCCAATAGTTTCTTGAAAGTCTTGAAACAGCTTTCATAATCCTGAAAAATAGAAAAAAAAAATCAATAAAAAAGGGTTCATTCTCAAAGGTAATTTAATTCTTACCTTTTTAGCATTCATTTTGAAGGAAAAGTTGTTTTTAAAACGGAAGAAAAAGTTCGAAATTCCAAGAAACTCTCCAAATTGTCCATATTAACTATATGGATAATCATTTCGCTTTCCAATAGTCTCTTATAAGTCTTGAAACAGCTTTCATAATCCTGAAAAATAGAAAAAAAAATCATTAAAAAAGGGTTCATTCTCAAAGGTAATTTAATTCTTACCTTTTTAGCATTCATTTTGAAGGAAAAGTTGTTTTTAAAACGGAAGAAAAAGTTCGAAATTCCAAGAAACTCTCCAAATTGTCCATATTAACTATATGGATAATCATTTCGCTTTCCAATAGTCTCTTATAAGTCTTGAAACAGCTTTCATAATCCTGAAAAATAGAAAAAAAAATCATTAAAAAAGGGTTCATTCTCAAAGGTAATTTAATTCTTACCTTTTTAGCATTCATTTTGAAGGAAAAGTTGTTTTTAAAACGGAAGAAAAAGTTCGAAATTCCAAGAAACTCTCCAAATTGTCCATATTAACTATATGGATAATCATTTCGCTTTCCAATAGTCTCTTATAAGTCTTGAAACAGCTTTCATAATCCTGAAAAATAGAAAAAAAAATCATTAAAAATGGGTTTATTCTTATAGAAAATTTAATTCTTACCTTTTTAGCATTCATTTTGAAGGAAAAGTTGTTTTTAAAACGGAAGAAAAAGTTCGAAATTCCAAGAAACTCTCCAAATTGTCCATATTAACTATATGGATAATCATTTCGCTTTCCAATAGTCTCTTATAAGTCTTGAAACAGCTTTCATAATCCTGAAAAATAGAAAAAAAAATCATTAAAAATGGGTTTATTCTTATAGAAAATTTAATTCTTACCTTTTTAGCATTCATTTTGAAGGAAAAGTTGTTTTTAAAACGGAAGAAAAAGTTCGAAATTCCAAGAAACTCTCCAAATTGTTCATATTAACTATATGGATAATCATTTCGCTTTCCAATAGTCTCTTATAAGTCTTGAAACAGCTTTCATAATCCTGAAAAATAGAAAATAAATCAATAAAAAAGGGTTTATTCTTATAGAAAATTTAATTCTTACCTTTTTAGCATTCATTTTGAAGGAAAAGTTGTTTTTAAAACGGAAGAAAAAGTTCGAAATTCCAAGAAACTCTCCAAATTGTTCATATTAACTATATGGATAATCATTTCGCTTTCCAATAGTCTCTTATAAGTCTTGAAACAGCTTTCATAATCCTGAAAAATAGAAAAAAAAATCATTAAAAAAGGGTTCATTCTCAAAGGTAATTTAATTCTTACCTTTTTTAGCATTCTTTTTGAAGGAAAAGTTGTTTTTAAAACGGAAGAAAAAGTTCGAAATTCCAAGAAACTCTCCAAATTGTCCATATTAACTATATGGATAATCATTTCGCTTTCCAATAGTCTCTTATAAGTCTTGAAACAGCTTTCATAATCCTGAAAAATAGAAAAAAAAAATCATTAAAAAAGGGTTCATTCTCAAAGGTAATTTAATTCTTACCTTTTTAGCATTCATTTTGAAGGAAAAGTTGTTTTTAAAACGGAAGAAAAAGTTCGAAATTCCAAGAAACTCTCCAAATTGTCCATATTAACTATATGGATAATCATTTCGCTTTCCAATAGTCTCTTATAAGTCTTGAAACAGCTTTCATAATCCTGAAAAATAGAAAAAAAAATCATTAAAAAAGGGTTCATTCTCAAAGGTAATTTAATTCTTACCTTTTTTAGCATTCTTTTTGAAGGCAAAGTTGTTTTTAAAACGGAAGAAAAAGTTCGAAATTCCAAGAAACTCTCCAAATTGTCCATATTAACTATATGGATAATCATTTCGCTTTCCAATAGTCTCTTATAAGTCTTGAAACAGCTTTCATAATCCTGAAAAATAGAAAAAAAATCAATAAAAAAGGGTTTATTCTTATAGAAAATTTAATACTTACCTTTTTAGCATTCATTTTGAAGGAAAAGTTGTTTTTAAAACGGAAGAAAAAGTTCGAAATTCCAAGAAACTCTCCAAATTGTCCATATTAACTATATGGATAATCATTTCGCTTTCCAATAGTCTCTTATAAGTCTTGAAACAGCTTTCATAATCCTGAAAAATAGAAAAAAATCATTAAAAAAGGGTTCATTCTCAAAGGTAATTTAATTCTTACCTTTTTTAGCATTCTTTTTGAAGGCAAAGTTGTTTTTAAAACGGAAGAAAAAGTTCGAAATTCCAAGAAACTCTCCAAATTGTCCATATTAACTATATGGATAATCATTTCGCTTTCCAATAGTCTCTTATAAGTCTTGAAACAGCTTTCATAATCCTGAAAAATAGAAAAAAAAATCATTAAAAATGGGTTTATTCTTATAGAAAATTTAATTCTTACCTTTTTAGCATTCATTTTGAAGGAAAAGTTGTTTTTAAAACGGAAGAAAAAGTTCGAAATTCCAAGAAACTCTCCAAATTGTCCATATTAACTATATGGATAATCATTTCGCTTTCCAATAGTCTCTTATAAGTCTTGAAACAGCTTTCATAATCCTGAAAAATAGAAAAAAAATCATTAAAAAAGGGTTCATTCTCAAAGGTAATTTAATTCTTACCTTTTTAGCATTCATTTTGAAGGAAAAGTTGTTTTTAAAACGGAAGAAAAAGTTCGAAATTCCAAGAAACTCTCCAAATTGTCCATATTAACTATATGGATAATCATTTCGCTTTCCAATAGTCTCTTATAAGTCTTGAAACAGCTTTCATAATCCTGAAAAATAGAAAAAAAATCATTAAAAAAGGGTTCATTCTCAAAGGTAATTTAATTCTTACCTTTTTAGCATTCATTTTGAAGGAAAAGTTGTTTTTAAAACGGAAGAAAAAGTTCGAAATTCCAAGAAACTCTCCAAATTGTCCATATTAACTATATGGATAATCATTTCGCTTTCCAATAGTCTCTTATAAGTCTTGAAACAGCTTTCATAATCCTGAAAAATAGAAAAAAAAATCATTAAAAAAGGGTTCATTCTCAAAGGTAATTTAATTCTTACCTTTTTTAGCATTCTTTTTGAAGGCAAAGTTGTTTTTAAAACGGAAGAAAAAGTTCGAAATTCCAAGAAACTCTCCAAATTGTCCATATTAACTATATGGATAATCATTTCGCTTTCCAATAGTCTCTTATAAGTCTTGAAACAGCTTTCATAATCCTGAAAAATAGAAAAAAAATCAATAAAAAAGGGTTTATTCTTATAGAAAATTTAATTCTTACCTTTCCAGCATTCATTTTGAAGGCAAAGTTGTTTTTAAAACGGAAGAAAAAGTTCGAAATTCCAAGAAACTCTCCAAATTGTCCATATTAACTATATGGATAATCATTTCGCTTTCCAATAGTCTCTTATAAGTCTTGAAACAGCTTTCATAATCCTGAAAAATAGAAAAAAAATCATTAAAAAAGGGTTCATTCTCAAAGGTAATTTAATTCTTACCTTTTTTAGCATTCTTTTTGAAGGCAAAGTTGTTTTTAAAACGGAAGAAAAAGTTCGAAATTCCAAGAAACTCTCCAAATTGTCCATATTAACTATATGGATAATCATTTCGCTTTCCAATAGTCTCTTATAAGTCTTGAAACAGCTTTCATAATCCTGAAAAATAGAAAAAAAATCAATAAAAAAGGGTTTATTCTTATAGAAAATTTAATTCTTACCTTTCCAGCATTCATTTTGAAGGCAAAGTTGTTTTTAAAACGGAAGAAAAAGTTCGAAATTCCAAGAAACTCTCCAAATTGTCCATATTAACTATATGGATAATCATTTCGCTTTCCAATAGTCTCTTATAAGTCTTGAAACAGCTTTCATAATCCTGAAAAATAGAAAAAAAATCATTAAAAAAGGGTTCATTCTCAAAGGTAATTTAATTCTTACCTTTTTTAGCATTCTTTTTGAAGGCAAAGTTGTTTTTAAAACGGAAGAAAAAGTTCGAAATTCCAAGAAACTCTCCAAATTGTCCATATTAACTATATGGATAATCATTTCGCTTTCCAATAGTTTCTTGAAAGTCTTGAAACAGCTTTCATAATCCTGAAAAATAGAAAAAAAAAATCAATAAAAAAGGGTTCATTCTCAAAGGTAATTTAATTCTTACCTTTTTAGCATTCATTTTGAAGGAAAAGTTGTTTTTAAAACGGAAGAAAAAGTTCGAAATTCCAAGAAACTCTCCAAATTGTCCATATTAACTATATGGATAATCATTTCGCTTTCCAATAGTCTCTTATAAGTCTTGAAACAGCTTTCATAATCCTGAAAAATAGAAAAAAAAATCATTAAAAAAGGGTTCATTCTCAAAGGTAATTTAATTCTTACCTTTTTAGCATTCATTTTGAAGGAAAAGTTGTTTTTAAAACGGAAGAAAAAGTTCGAAATTCCAAGAAACTCTCCAAATTGTCCATATTAACTATATGGATAATCATTTCGCTTTCCAATAGTCTCTTATAAGTCTTGAAACAGCTTTCATAATCCTGAAAAATAGAAAAAAAAATCATTAAAAAAGGGTTCATTCTCAAAGGTAATTTAATTCTTACCTTTTTAGCATTCATTTTGAAGGAAAAGTTGTTTTTAAAACGGAAGAAAAAGTTCGAAATTCCAAGAAACTCTCCAAATTGTCCATATTAACTATATGGATAATCATTTCGCTTTCCAATAGTCTCTTATAAGTCTTGAAACAGCTTTCATAATCCTGAAAAATAGAAAAAAAAATCATTAAAAATGGGTTTATTCTTATAGAAAATTTAATTCTTACCTTTTTAGCATTCATTTTGAAGGAAAAGTTGTTTTTAAAACGGAAGAAAAAGTTCGAAATTCCAAGAAACTCTCCAAATTGTCCATATTAACTATATGGATAATCATTTCGCTTTCCAATAGTCTCTTATAAGTCTTGAAACAGCTTTCATAATCCTGAAAAATAGAAAAAAAAATCATTAAAAATGGGTTTATTCTTATAGAAAATTTAATTCTTACCTTTTTAGCATTCATTTTGAAGGAAAAGTTGTTTTTAAAACGGAAGAAAAAGTTCGAAATTCCAAGAAACTCTCCAAATTGTTCATATTAACTATATGGATAATCATTTCGCTTTCCAATAGTCTCTTATAAGTCTTGAAACAGCTTTCATAATCCTGAAAAATAGAAAAAAAATCAATAAAAAAGGGTTTATTCTTATAGAAAATTTAATTCTTACCTTTTTAGCATTCATTTTGAAGGAAAAGTTGTTTTTAAAACGGAAGAAAAAGTTCGAAATTCCAAGAAACTCTCCAAATTGTTCATATTAACTATATGGATAATCATTTCGCTTTCCAATAGTTTCTTGAAAGTCTTGAAACAGCTTTCATAATCCTGAAAAATAGAAAAAAAATCAATAAAAAAGGGTTTATTCTTATAGAAAATTTAATTCTTACCTTTTTAGCATTCATTTTGAAGGAAAAGTTGTTTTTAAAACGGAAGAAAAAGTTCGAAATTCCAAGAAACTCTCCAAATTGTCCATATTAACTATATGGATAATCATTTCGCTTTCCAATAGTCTCTTATAAGTCTTGAAACAGCTTTCATAATCCTGAAAAATAGAAAAAAAATCATTAAAAAAGGGTTCATTCTCAAAGGTAATTTAATTCTTACCTTTTTTAGCATTCTTTTTGAAGGCAAAGTTGTTTTTAAAACGGAAGAAAAAGTTCGAAATTCCAAGAAACTCTCCAAATTGTCCATATTAACTATATGGATAATCATTTCGCTTTCCAATAGTCTCTTATAAGTCTTGAAACAGCTTTCATAATCCTGAAAAATAGAAAAAAAATCAATAAAAAAGGGTTTATTCTTATAGAAAATTTAATTCTTACCTTTTTAGCATTCATTTTGAAGGAAAAGTTGTTTTTAAAACGGAAGAAAAAGTTCGAAATTCCAAGAAACTCTCCAAATTGTCCATATTAACTATATGGATAATCATTTCGCTTTCCAATAGTCTCTTATAAGTCTTGAAACAGCTTTCATAATCCTGAAAAATAGAAAAAAATCATTAAAAAAGGGTTCATTCTCAAAGGTAATTTAATTCTTACCTTTTTTAGCATTCTTTTTGAAGGCAAAGTTGTTTTTAAAACGGAAGAAAAAGTTCGAAATTCCAAGAAACTCTCCAAATTGTCCATATTAACTATATGGATAATCATTTCGCTTTCCAATAGTCTCTTATAAGTCTTGAAACAGCTTTCATAATTCTGAAAAATAGAAAAAAAAAATCATTAAAAATGGGTTTATTCTTATAGAAAATTTAATTCTTACCTTTTTAGCATTCATTTTGAAGGAAAAGTTGTTTTTAAAACGAAAGAAAAAGTTCGAAATTCCAAGAAACTCTCCAAATTGTCCATATTAACTATATGGATAATCATTTCGCTTTCCAATAGTCTCTTATAAGTCTTGAAACAGCTTTCATAATCCTGAAAAATAGAAAAAAAATCATTAAAAAAGGGTTCATTCTCAAAGGTAATTTAATTCTTACCTTTTTAGCATTCATTTTGAAGGAAAAGTTGTTTTTAAAACGGAAGAAAAAGTTCGAAATTCCAAGAAACTCTCCAAATTGTCCATATTAACTATATGGATAATCATTTCGCTTTCCAATAGTCTCTTATAAGTCTTGAAACAGCTTTCATAATCCTGAAAAATAGAAAAAAAAATCATTAAAAAAGGGTTCATTCTCAAAGGTAATTTAATTCTTACCTTTTTTAGCATTCTTTTTGAAGGCAAAGTTGTTTTTAAAACGGAAGAAAAAGTTCGAAATTCCAAGAAACTCTCCAAATTGTCCATATTAACTATATGGATAATCATTTCGCTTTCCAATAGTCTCTTATAAGTCTTGAAACAGCTTTCATAATCCTGAAAAATAGAAAAAAAATCAATAAAAAAGGGTTTATTCTTATAGAAAATTTAATTCTTACCTTTCCAGCATTCATTTTGAAGGCAAAGTTGTTTTTAAAACGGAAGAAAAAGTTCGAAATTCCAAGAAACTCTCCAAATTGTCCATATTAACTATATGGATAATCATTTCGCTTTCCAATAGTCTCTTATAAGTCTTGAAACAGCTTTCATAATCCTGAAAAATAGAAAAAAAATCATTAAAAAAGGGTTCATTCTCAAAGGTAATTTAATTCTTACCTTTTTTAGCATTCTTTTTGAAGGCAAAGTTGTTTTTAAAACGGAAGAAAAAGTTCGAAATTCCAAGAAACTCTCCAAATTGTCCATATTAACTATATGGATAATCATTTCGCTTTCCAATAGTTTCTTGAAAGTCTTGAAACAGCTTTCATAATCCTGAAAAATAGAAAAAAAAAATCAATAAAAAAGGGTTCATTCTCAAAGGTAATTTAATTCTTACCTTTTTAGCATTCATTTTGAAGGAAAAGTTGTTTTTAAAACGGAAGAAAAAGTTCGAAATTCCAAGAAACTCTCCAAATTGTCCATATTAACTATATGGATAATCATTTCGCTTTCCAATAGTCTCTTATAAGTCTTGAAACAGCTTTCATAATCCTGAAAAATAGAAAAAAAAATCATTAAAAATGGGTTCATTCTCAAAGGTAATTTAATTCTTACCTTTTTTAGCATTCTTTTTGAAGGCAAAGTTGTTTTTAAAACGGAAGAAAAAGTTCGAAATTCCAAGAAACTCTCCAAATTGTCCATATTAACTATATGGATAATCATTTCGCTTTCCAATAGTCTCTTATAAGTCTTGAAACAGCTTTCATAATCCTGAAAAATAGAAAAAAAAATCATTAAAAAAGGGTTCATTCTCAAAGGTAATTTAATTCTTACCTTTTTTAGCATTCTTTTTGAAGGCAAAGTTGTTTTTAAAACGGAAGAAAAAGTTCGAAATTCCAAGAAACTCTCCAAATTGTCCATATTAACTATATGGATAATCATTTCGCTTTCCAATAGTCTCTTATAAGTCTTGAAACAGCTTTCATAATCCTGAAAAATAGAAAAAAAATCATTAAAAAAGGGTTCATTCTCAAAGGTAATTTAATTCTTACCTTTTTAGCATTCATTTTGAAGGAAAAGTTGTTTTTAAAACGGAAGAAAAAGTTCGAAATTCCAAGAAACTCTCCAAATTGTCCATATTAACTATATGGATAATCATTTCGCTTTCCAATAGTCTCTTATAAGTCTTGAAACAGCTTTCATAATCCTGAAAAATAGAAAAAAAAATCATTAAAAAAGGGTTCATTCTCAAAGGTAATTTAATTCTTACCTTTTTTAGCATTCTTTTTGAAGGCAAAGTTGTTTTTAAAACGGAAGAAAAAGTTCGAAATTCCAAGAAACTCTCCAAATTGTCCATATTAACTATATGGATAATCATTTCGCTTTCCAATAGTCTCTTATAAGTCTTGAAACAGCTTTCATAATCCTGAAAAATAGAAAAAAAATCAATAAAAAAGGGTTTATTCTTATAGAAAATTTAATTCTTACCTTTCCAGCATTCATTTTGAAGGCAAAGTTGTTTTTAAAACGGAAGAAAAAGTTCGAAATTCCAAGAAACTCTCCAAATTGTCCATATTAACTATATGGATAATCATTTCGCTTTCCAATAGTCTCTTATAAGTCTTGAAACAGCTTTCATAATCCTGAAAAATAGAAAAAAAATCATTAAAAAAGGGTTCATTCTCAAAGGTAATTTAATTCTTACCTTTTTTAGCATTCTTTTTGAAGGCAAAGTTGTTTTTAAAACGGAAGAAAAAGTTCGAAATTCCAAGAAACTCTCCAAATTGTCCATATTAACTATATGGATAATCATTTCGCTTTCCAATAGTTTCTTGAAAGTCTTGAAACAGCTTTCATAATCCTGAAAAATAGAAAAAAAAAATCAATAAAAAAGGGTTCATTCTCAAAGGTAATTTAATTCTTACCTTTTTAGCATTCTTTTTGAAGGCAAAGTTGTTTTTAAAACGGAAGAAAAAGTTCGAAATTCCAAGAAACTCTCCAAATTGTCCATATTAACTATATGGATAATCATTTCGCTTTCCAATAGTCTCTTATAAGTCTTGAAACAGCTTTCATAATTCTGAAAAATAGAAAAAAAATCATTAAAAAAGGGTTCATTCTCAAAGGTAATTTAATTCTTACCTT